AACTAAGCCCACACACCACAGCTACAGAGCCTGAGCTCTAGAGCCCCGCGAGCCACAGCTACTGAAGCCCATGCACCTAGAGTCTGTGCTCCGCAACAAGAGAAGCCACCACAATGAGAAGCCTGCGCACTGCAACGAACAGTAGCCTAGAGAAAAGGCCGCGTGCAGCAACAAAGACCCAATGCAGCCAAAAAAAAAAAAAAAAAAAAAAAAAAAAAAAAATTTCCCCAGATTATCATAAATTGTTATGAAAAAAAAAAAAAAAAAAAAAAAGAACTGATATCCGAGGCACAGAGGGGAATGATATCTGGGTAAGAGTCTCTAAGCAGGTGAGTAATAAACCCAGCTATTTCTTTCTTTCTTTTTTTTTTTTTTTGCGGTATGTGGGCCTCTCACCGCTGTGGCCTCTCCCCTTGCGGAGCGCAGGCTCCGGACGCACAGGCTCAGCGGCCGTGGCTCACGGGCCCAGCCGCTCCGCGGCGTGTGGGATCTTCCCGGACCGGGGCACGAACCCGCGTCCCCTGCATCGGCAGGCGGACTCTCAACCACTGCGCCACCAGGGAAGCCCCCAGCTATTTCTTTAATCTCCCACATTCTGAAATTTCTGCCTGGATTCCATTAGAAAACTGGGAGGTTAAGGTAAGAAAAACAACTTAATGTTTTGAAATTAACTACTCCAACCACCTAGCAAGGAGCGCTCACCACACCTCTTGCCACTTAGCACAGACATGTTGATTTAAGAGTAACTGTTTAGACAAGGTGGGATTTAACCCAGCATACTACCATACTGGAGGAGTAGTCCTTTACCTTTCCATGTGGGTAGAGAGCTGCTTTGGGGAACTGGCCATAAGACACCTAGAAACCTCTCTCTTGTCGACCAGCATTTGTTAAGATTTGAAAATCATGAGTTCTAACCACCTGAAATTAGCTCTTAAAAGGTATAGCTATAGATCCTCTCTGAGGAGTGCTCATGATGGTAAGACAGAGCATGGAATTTACAGTCAAAGTCCCGAGTTTAAATCTAGCTTCCAGACTTGATATTGACCACTCAAACCTTCTAAGGCTCATCTGACCAACACCTAAAATGGAAAGCATTACCATCCTCACTGGGCTCTTGTGAAGATGGCCTGAGATAAGGTATATGGAGCTCCTAGCTGAAGGGCTGGCCACTTGTCAGGCACTCAGAAAATATGAGTTTCCTTTCTTCCCTTTTGACTGACGATTTATCTACTGGGAGGGAAACAAAATGTAACACATGGTACTCAAGGAATTGACAATCTAGTTGGTAAGGCAAAAGTCAGACCTACCAAAGACATATAGCTTTGCCTAAGTGGGTAAAATAAATATCTAGCCAATGGTATGATTCATAGTGCTGTGAGAGTAGAAAAGAAAAAGACTCTCACAGGTGGAGGTAGCAAGGAAAGGCTTCCTGGAAGAGACAGAATTTGAGTGAGAGTTTTGAGAATGGGTGGGAATGAGATGGGCTAAGAGCAGTGGATAGAACAGGACAAGCCAGATAGACGCAAAAGACGTACCTAGTGAGAATGCACAGCGCAAATGCTGGTAATATGCAGAGCTTGGTCTTGCTGGCAAAGTTTCTGCATTGGAAGAGCTAAGCACAAGGCTTTTGGTAGACAGTGATGGGCTTAATAAGCTAGGCTAAGAAACATGTCTTTATCTTGTAGATAATGGAAAGCCGGTGAAGGTTTCTGAGCAGGAAAAAGCATGGACAAATAATATCATCTAGAAAGCCCACAAGAATCAACATTCACTTGAGTGTTATGAGCCATGCTGCTGTGAAAAAAAAAAAATCCCTTTCATTATACTGATACTTAGTCATTCACTGAAGACCTACTTCAGAACTCCAAGGAAAACATTTTATGAATCAAAAGCTAAGTACAATATGTTAGCAATTAAATGAGATAACATAATGGCCCAGGCAGAACCACGGTTCTCCCCACCACGATTGCAAGCTGCTGCAGAAAGAAATGCTTCTATCATCTTCCAAGCGATCAAGCCATTTCGTTTTGATTTTGGAAGGCAGGGAGAGAGGAAACGAGGAGAGACGGAGGTCAAGAGAATTCAAAGCTATCTGTTCTTTAATCAGAAGGAATTATTAAGGAGAGTTATAAAGGAGATTGGCTCAAAACAAAACCAGCCCTGGAATGGGTGTTAAGTTACTGCAACTCGCTTACACTCCAGAACAACAACTGAAGGTGTGTAGCTGGGAATGAAACTCCCACCAGCGCTGGTCCGACGTTTCCAGTGAGTACCTCCCACTGCTACTTTATTTACTGCAGCTGGCCAACGTTTTATGGCCTGTTTCATGTATTAAAATTCAAATGTGGAAAACATTACCAGTATCCTCCTTGAATTTTTTTTGTTGTTGCTGGGGGGAGGAAGGGGGGGTGGGTTTTTCCCTTCCCCTTCAGCTTCCTTTTTATTGTGGAATGTATCAAATGGTCAAAAGCTAACTTCAGACTGACTAAATTCAAAAACTATTTCCTTTGTTCTGATGTTTTTGTTTGAAAAGTCATACCAGTTTGCGCAAGGCAAGAAATGAGGATCCGATCATGGTGCACACGTTGGGGTTTCGGGCAGAGGAGCTCAGATGCATTGGGCGCCCTGAATGTTTTTGAGAAAAAAGGAGAAAGACTGCTAGGCCTCCGCTGGCTTCAAAGGGCAGCAGGTTGTCCTGCCATGGCTTTGGAGTTACTCTATGATCTGGTTGGCTCGGCCGTCACCCCTGACTAAATTAGAAACGTCTTCAGGAGTGAGTGAGCACTTTTCCTCATCAGCAAAACTAGCAGTTTTATTGCTTCGGCATCGTTTCTTCCAAAATAATTAAAGACGTTGCTGTGTAATACAGGCTGATGATTTCCCCTTTTCTATTGCTCTGTTCATTCTCTCCCCTCCCACTCCACCTGGGTCAGTCCCACTTCCCATCTCCAAAGATGAGTCTAGTCTCTTCCTCCTATTCCACCTCTGAATCAAACTCAAAGAGGAGGCAGTTCAAAGGTCAAATAAAAGGTTCCAGAAAACATCTCTGTATAGTTTATTATTTTAAAGAACCACTTAACCTACATCTGGTATTTAAGAGCAAACTTTACATATTTATGGAAAAAAAAAAAAAAACCTGTCTCTGAAGCAATGTCCTGGGTGCACGTTGCATCCGTTTAACATATGCAAAACGAACACAGCTACAGAAATTAAAGTATTTTTCTCTTGATTGAGAGCAGACATACAGAACTGGTTGTAAGTCACAGATCTGGCTTTTAATAAAGCCAGATTTCTTAATTAAAAGCAGTATTGTTTAAACATTGTAGTTAAAAAAAACGCTGTACAAACTAAAATCTCATATTATATGCATCCCAAGAGTATTTAGCACATTACCTGAGGCCAAGCTAAATTAAAATCTAGATTTTCCTTTTGTAAACTCTTAGCAACTGCCATGAATAGACAAACAATTTTTACTCAATGAGGAATTTTTAGGGTAGAGTCTACGAAAAGCAAAAAAAGAAAAAAAAAAAAGATTTAGCTTTGGCATTCAAAAATACCTTTCCACGTTTTAGAAGTGAGTTCACTGCTTCTATTTATAAACCAGTATTTTTGGTTTCAAATTGGTTGCAGGTTTCCATAACATACCGCTCAGGATGGGACTCTCAATCTTTTATTAGGAGAAATGCAAAGGAGGGCAGAAGAATACTTCTGAACGCGAAAAGAACTTAAAGAGCCTCAGAATAATCTGTACTTATTTTGCATTCTCCTTTTGGAATCATCTTTAAGCAAGAGATGCTCTAGTGATGATGGAAAATAGACCTTCATACATGCAACTTTCTGAGAGCCTGTAAGGCACAAAACAGGACACTAAGGTGTTCTCTGGTCAGGAGTTTTGTAAAGAGCAGAATTACACAGAATCACAAGTAATATTAAATTCCCCACCCATATGGTCACTTCATTAATTGTCATCACTTAACATTTTGTTAGGGAGATTTTCTGAATCTTTGTAATCATCCAAGAAAGAATGCACTCCCAAGTCCTTTCCAAAAGTAAGTGGCAAAACTGAAATTTCAATTGTAATATGGACAAATCTGCTTAAATATTATTCAAATAAACATAAATAGGTAGTGGTAAAACTATGATATACTGAAATTACACGGTGCCACATCATCTATTTAGACAGACACACCATATATTTCTACCTCCCATACTCAGAAGCAAAAGACATTGATTTGGCTTCTTTAATAATAATTTAAAAAAATCCAACCTATTCACATGTGAAATGCCAGCAATGTAACATGAACATTGGGTCTTTTAGCTGAAGTCCCCAAACTGAAGATTTGAACACACCAGCAATGACCCAGCAATGATCTCCTAGGCTTATACTTAAGTGAAATGAAAACATATGTCCACACAACAACTAGTACATGAATGCTCACAGGAGCATTATTCCTAATAGCCAAAGACTGGAAGTAACCCAAATATCCATCACCTGATGAATGGATATTTAACGTATAGCTATACAATGGAATCTTTTGGGGAATAAAAATGAATGATGCTCTGATAAATGATAAAACATATATAAACCCTGAAAACATTATGCTAAGTGAAATAAGTCAGTCAGAAAAGACCACCACATACTGTGGGATTCCATTTATAGGAAATATCTAGACTAGGCAAATCTATAGAGACAGAAAGTAGGTTAGTAGTTGCCAGGGGCTAGGGGGAGGGAAGGATGGAGAGTGACTGCTAATGGGCATGTGGATTTCTTTTCTTTTTGTAGGGGTCAAAAGTGCTCTAAAATTAGACTCTGGTGCTGATGGCATAACCCTGAGAATATATGTAGAACACGGTACACTGTAAAACTGAAAGGGGTGAATTGTAGGTTAAATAAATTACATCTCAATAAAGCTGTTTACAAAAGAAAAAACTGCAGCAGTATTTATACTAGAAATTCTAATTCTATAAGATAACTAGAGTCCCTAAATTTAGTCACTTACCATGAGTGAATGTCTGTTGGCAGAAAGAAGACCGGTTCCATACCCTGAGGCCAGACCACCCATTGCTCCATTATGAGCCGGTCCAATGATTCCGTGCATGTCCCCATGACCACCAGGCATGGCTGTGGACGGGCCCACGGCATGATTCCGGAGAACATGAATAGCATCGTCCAGTCTTTCTAAACGATCTTCAATTCGGCTTTGCTGTTGGTTAATAAATGATGTGAAATTTGATTTAGTTCGAAATTCGTGTGTAGATTATATAAGTAAAACCTGAGTTGACACGAATCATACTTTGGGTCTCTGAATATATGTTTCCAGTAAAGTTTATTTCCTTAAAATTGTAATAAAAATAAATAGTGACCTTCCTAGAAAACTGGTGAAAATTGTTAATGCTATAATTATAGTGTAATTTTTTGTGAACAAATTCAGTAATTCTTCCAGGACATTGTTAGTACACATGCTACACTATATTGCATAACTTTGAAAGAGAATTTAGATTTACTTCAGAAAAGAAAAAAACATTTATTGAATTTAAGGAACGTTCTGGCAGGCATTTGTTAAAGATTTCAAAAAGTTAACAATGGAAAGGTGACCTATTTATAGTTTCCCAATTAAATTATCTTCTTAAGGGCATATTTCCTGGGTTTCCTCTGGGCCATATGATATAATCTTATGTACCAAGTCAGGGACAGTGGTTAAATGCGTACAGACTGTAATTTCTTATCGAGTACTAACAATTTTTACTGTGTTTCTTGCTTTCTAGCTACCATCACCAGCTTGTGTGTGTGTGTGTGTGTGTGTGTGTGTGTGTGTGTGTGTGTGTGTGTGTGTGTAGAGGGGACACTGTGTGTGTGTGTGTGTGTGTGTGTGTGTGTAAAGGGAACTGGAGCCTCAAAACGGTTAAAGGAAAACATCGCAAAAATTCTGTCAACCAAAGTGGTAGGAGATTTCAGCACTGAAGAATCATAAAGACTTGAATGAATTGTTCACCGGGGGCTTCTAATTGATTTCAAAGCCCTTACTATAGTAGAGAATTCACTACCTTATAAAATGAAAAACCAGCTGATCTTTTTTTCACCCCAGACATTAGGATCCTAGTTTTCCACAACTGGATAAAGCCTATATGGATAGTTTTTGGTGAAGAAATTGGACATGGAGATGTGTATTCATTTTTTTCAGTGCGACCAATAATGATATCAAACAAACATCTCCAGGGTGCACTTTAAAATACACCGTCTCACTGGATCCTCACTCTACATGTGTAAGCAAGCGGCGAAGACATTATTATCCCTTCCTTATAGACGTGCAAATGAGGCTCAAAGAAATTAAGTGAATTAATTATTCAGTGTCACACTGCCAGGAAATAGTAAAGTCAGGGTTACAATCTAAGTCTTCAAATCTAGTGCCTCTTTGTACTGGATCATGCTACAATCCACTTTGATTTCCAAAGGGCTGTGCAAACAGATATACCAGCTCTCCCGCATGAGAAAAACAATTTCTAATTATTCCCTACTAACAGAAAGAACGTGTGTCTAATACAGTCAGTCTATGGTACACAGCCTTCTGATTTGGTGGGCTTTGGTGTTAAGGGGCCTCCTTTAAACTCCTAGCTCTGCTGCTTATGTGACCTTGGAAAAGTTACTAAACTTCTTTGAGTCTATACTTCTTAATTTATAAAAATAGGAATGATGATATACACTTCCAAGTGTAAGTGTGAGCATGAAAAGAAATAATACACGTGCCTATCATCCTTTCTGGCTCACAGCTTCTGGGTGGAGACCAGTTTCTGCTTGGGAATCCCCTCTTGAGTGTTCAGAATTCAAAGAGAATTAAAGCTGCCGTTCACAACTATAAACCTAGTCTTTACAGTTCTATAGTTGGAAAAAACCCAGTTTTGATCGATGGGTCCCAGAGACTGACTAATGGAAGGAAACACTTAAAAGAATGATGGCTTATTTGGATGTGGGCTGTAGATTCATGGGGCTTATGTAGGCAGTGCTTACACTGTCTCAATCTGTGGTCACCTTATTGGCTAAAATGTGGAGGTGGCCGATTTACACACGACAGCATGGAAAAGCACAGTGAAGGGGAAATCCACCTTTGTATCTGCATTTTTAGATTTTCCTTAATTTAAATTGTTAGCCAAAAGGAAGAAAGGAAACCCTGAATGGCTGACAAGACAACATAAAGATAGATAGACAGATAGATAGATCTATGCCTACTTCCATGTTCCATCTCAAAATATGCAGAGAAAAAGGGAAACTCAACCTTGAAGGACAGCTCCTTGCTGCTACCCCTCCCCATCTGACTCATATACAGACCAGACAGTGCATAGAGCAATGTTGCTTCATGCATGTTTCCAGCCCCTTCCACCTAGAGCTGAGTGTCAAACACTGAATCATCATGTGATTATTTATAATATTAATTACACCAAGGGAAAATTTTCAGCTATTCCCTACAAGAGAGATTTAATGAAATTACTAGATTTCCACGAGAATCAAAGTGAATGAGGAAATAAGCAGTAGGCTTCTTATTCAGAGGTCAAGAAGAAAACACCTATAAACCTGTTATTCTGGAAAGCAAAGCACAGAGATGTAGACTCTCCAAGTGTTCCAGCTCCACAGCATAGTTGGAACTCCAGCACTCTCACGTCTGGAGAGGCATCTAATCATTGATGCACATCTTCCTCTAACAAGGGGAGGAGGCCATGATCCTTCCAAGATTCTTAATCTCTTACCTGATTCTAGATATTCAGAGCCCTGAGGCTTCCACTATAGTAGTATCTGGGTTACAATCTATAAACAGGAACAAGCACAGTCTAATAACTCTGGCTCTAACCAAACGCGTGGGCTTACTTGACGTGAAAATAAGAATATTGGAGAGTGAACTCGATGGTAAAAGAGACACATGGCCTGAGAATGGCCAGGGTGGGGACTTCCCTGGCGGTCCAGTGGTTAAGACTTCACCTTCCAATGAAGGGGGTGTGGGTTCAATCCCTGGCCGGGGAGCTAAGATCCCACATGCCTTGTGGCCAAAAACCCAAAACATAAAACAGAAGCAATATTGTAACAAATTCCATAAGGACTTTAAAAATGGTCCACATCAAAAAAAATCTTAAAAAAAAAAGAATGGCCAGAGTGAAGATGTGCAGACGATACTTACCAAAGAGTGTAAGGGTCCTTCATAATTAGGAGATGATGAAGCCTGTCCTCCATTTCTAGACCAAACAGCTGTGCCTGCTGATATGAAAATGGGAATTACAATAAGATCTGTATAATCTTAAAAATAATCTTACCAACATTCTAAACAGTTCTTGTAAAAATTAGCAATATCGATTTCTACTTTGACAACAGGGAAATACACGTAAACTTCCCATACAAGAATTTGGGGGCAAGGAAAACATTTAAAATGTAAAACATGTAGACTGTACATGGACTCAGAATTCTCTCAGGCTTCCTCCTAAAAGGGAACACTTAAGTGATTATGAATTTTAGCTAGAGAAATGTCCCTTTGATAGAAAACTATCATACACAGTCAAGGTACTTTTAAGAGTGCAAAGAGGGGCTTTCATGACACCCTCATGCAAAGCCAGTTTGTTAAACCAAAATTCTCTCACCAATGAAAAGCAGCTCTGCTACTTGTTTTTTAAATGATCTTTAAGAAAGGATAAGCCTTCAGAAACTTTTCAAGGAAATAAGATTAGCTGGCAGCAATCCACTAAACCAGAACTTTAAACACTCAATATAACAACATTAAGTAATTTCTTCCCAAGAAAACACGTTTTAAATGATTCACTAAACTTAAAGGTAAAGAAAGATTCCTGCTATAATAAATATAACATGCCTAACCTATCACTTTCAAAATAAAAACCACTTTTAAATTTAAAATAATACATACTCCATGTAGAAAACTTAGAAAATAAAAAAATTCAAGAAAGGGGAAAAAAAATCTATCATCTCACTGAAATCTCATGCTCCGACACTGTTAGCACTTTAAAATTCCATTCTTCCTGCCATTTCTGGGTGTGCATGTGTGTGTATTTTTATGCTAAATAAAAATAGAATATTTCGTTCAATTACTTTTAGTGACAGAATCTGGACAGAGCCATTGGTGTGAAAATAGCAATCTATCCCCATATTTATATCTTCATAAAGTTCTTTCTTCCTAACGTGTGCTCTTCCAGGATGGATTACCAGCACCCCGAAAGTGGCCTTGTTTCAGTGTCTTCCACATAAAGCATGCTCCTCAGTTTGGGGGATTTGTGGCGTTTTCTGAAATGATTTGTTCACCGTAACTTTCCCCTCCCATCCTTAACCTGGCAGTGGAGTGACAGAGAGGTGAGCCCTGGATTCCAGCCTAAGCTCTGATATTGCTACTGATGGATCCTCAGCAAATCCCATACTCTTTCTGGGCCTTCGTATGTCCATCTGTAAATCAGAGCATTCAACTCAAACAGCTGTTCTCAAACTTTATTAGGTTCTAGAATATTCTTTTTTCCAAATTATAAAATAGATGAAATCAGAGCTGCTTTGTTTGAAATGGGGAACTTGGGAGTTCTCTGTGTCCAGACTCCTTCATCCCTGGCCTCACTGGGCCCCGTGTTGTCTCAAGCCTTCTCTGGCTCTGGAAATTGACACCTGTGATCATTTTCCAGAGCCTAACAATATGGTACTGAGCTGGAAGTGTACAACAATTCTGAATTTGACTTTTCTGTCACTGGGGAATATTTCCTTGCTGCTCCATTATCTTCTATGTCATCTCTGGTCTTCCCGGTTTCAACATTATCTCTCTGGAGATATGAACTAAAAGGTCCAAGCTATTTCCCTCTCTATTCTGTGACCCCCTCATGTCAATGGAGGCTTGGAAAAGGCTGATATGAAGTCTCACCTCAGCCACTCTGAAAGCTTTGTGGCCATCTGAAACCTCCCACTCTTCACCAGGGAACCCACGTATGAGGGGCCATGTGAGTGCTGCATGCAGGGAATACTACAGAGATGGAGGTGGCGACATTCAGGCAAGTGACTCCAGTCTAAATTACAGTAAGGTCAGGTTTCAATCAGGTACAGATGTGATTTCATTTTTTTTTTTTTGTTTGTTTGTTTTTAAGAAGCCACCTGTCCTCTTTCCAAAGAGAAGAGACATGTACCAGACAAGGCCTTTCTGGAAGCATTTATACTGGAAAGGATGAGCCTTTAAAATGGAGCTCCAAAAAGTGCAATGCTTTACTAACACAATTTAATAACTTATAATTTTATTATTTGAAGCCACAGGTCATGTTAATTTGTTCTATTAAATGGCAAAACATCCCCTTTTACTCCACAGCTACATCACAATTTATTTACACAATTATAGTTTTCTTCAAACATGGACTTTAAAGAGGGAATCTGAAAAGCCTAAAATTTCTGTGGGAAATGATCCTTTTGAACAGTCTACATTTGATGACTACATAATCTATATTCCTATTCATGACGATGTGAACTGGGTTTTCTCACTGAGATGTCGAGTATATTATTCTGTGGAGTATCTTCCACAGAGCCAAGAAAAGTTTAAGAAGGAAGTTTCCCACATGCCTGTATATTCTAAAAACACGTAATTTTTAAGAAAAGTTTTGGATGTAAATGACTTCACCATTGTAGGGCAGTCTGTCTCTCCCACCCCTTCCTATTTGTCTGTCCAGAAATGCTCTGTTTTGAGCTTTTGGAGGGAGTGAGTTTCCACCTAGTAGCGCCGGAAGTGTAAGGGGGAAAACCATTCCATAAACTGACACTCGGATGCAGTGGATTTATGGTACTGTACCTGACAAAGACGGGGGAGAGCCAACAGGAGTTGAAGGGTTTGATGAAAAGCTGTTGTTAGTGTGATCTGGAGAATAGATCTTAAAACAGTGGGGAGAAAACAAACAAACAAACCCTCATTCATTGGGAATAAATATTCAACAATTTCAAACTACAAAGTGTCAATGCAATTCATTTACAAATTCCAAGGTACACAATACATTCAATGATCAACTGTAGTACCAATATTCTAAAATGAAAAACTTAACTGATTTTTCAATAGAAGAGCTATTGAGGTGGTATAAGATAGTGGGAAGAGAACCAGACTGGGGTCAGCCGACTTTAGTTCTTGTCCATTTCCTCCCACGTCCTCCCATGGCTGTGTGGCCATCAACCTACACAGATACTCCAAACCTCCCTTTCCCTCCTCCATACAAGAGGCTGGACAGCATCAGCTCTAAGATTTTTGTCCAACCCCTTCTGCATAATGTTTAAGGCATGTGATTCCAAGGCATAAGAATGCTCAGACTGAAGAAAAACTTTTCCTTAGGTCACAATGTTAATATAAGTCAAACTCATCTCTGCCCCCATTGGTAAGGAAAAACCAACTGAAGAGACAGAATGTTAGAGCAAGTCTCCACTTACATTTACAAATGATCACATTCAGCTTTTGAAGACCGTACCAGGTACACTCCTTCAGACAAGGAAGGGTGCCATCTTTCACTAGTGAACATGCAAGGAATGCTGGATTCTAGCCTCTAGGCAGGGGGCGGGCAAAGCGGAGGAGCTGAGTGCCAATTATGTGACAATTTCTCCTGGGTCTCAGTTATGGTCATTTTTCTGAAATGCCTTTTGCAAAGTGTTTTGGAATTACCCCTTGGCAAAGTCAGTCAATCAGTGAGTACCCAAACGACTTCAGAAGAAAATAAGACATCAAGATAGAAAATCTATCCTCTTAAAGGCCCTGAGAATATCCACCAATCCACGATTGAGTACCGGGAAGCAGAGGAGGCAAGACGGAAAACCAGCCATCCGCTGGACTCTTCAGAGTTCTCTCCTCAAGTTTTCCAATGATCATTATGCAAGGAAGCTAGCCTTTCCAAAAATCAAAGCTATTTGCCATCCATTTTCTAAAATTCTAAATGTCCACTTCTGATTAAAGTTCACCCTTCTGCCATGGTACATATGAAGTCCAAAGTCAATATTTCCTCACCGAAGCAAGTGCTTTCCCCAGAGCATCTCCAGTCTGGGAGCTGCCTGCTGCTCCGCTTCCTCTATTTGCTGCAAAAACAAAAGGCAGAATATGAAAAACCAGGCAGTGAGACGCCAAATGATTTTCTATTCCTGGTCCATTTACTCACAATTTAATTGCATTTTTAATGCTAATTACAACACATTAATCTTTAATTAGCATTAATTTGTTTGCTGAGGTAGATGTCAAATATATTCATGTTACATTTTTTTACAGATAAAATACAAACCTGACACCCTGGTTTAAAGATAAAGTGTTTTAATTGCTATTACATTCCCCCTGGTTGTGTATGAGTGGTTGGTGGTGAACAGTAGCAGGTGAGCATATGATGGTCATTGCTAAAAAGTGTGTGGTACTTTCAGGTCCCTGAAATCCTCAGAGTTTGCCTTTTCTTTATATTTTATATAGTAAACTGCATTATCTTCATGAATGATTTACATCTGCTTTCAAATTTTTAAAAAAACCCTTTTTTTGCTATACAGCAAAATGAGATACTCCTCTCAGAGCTCCACAATAAACAAAATAACACAAAAAAATCTATAACAGGCCTGCCTTCCTAGGAGGGAAGATATTTTTAATATTTTAAGTAACATATATTCTCCACATATTTTAAGTCTGTGTTCACATTTAAAGAATTTGAACCCTTAGCTACTAAAAGTCAATGTTGTCTCAAATTCTGGAGATAAAGTAAGTCCACATGATGATGAAGCAATCTCTATTATCTTAAACACTGGTGTTTCTATCTACAAAAGAGATGAACAAAGAGTACAGTCAGCCTTCCGTATCCACAGATTCAGCATCCAAGGATTTAACTAACCTCGGATCAAAAATCTTCAGAAAAAAAAAAAAATTCCATACAGTTCCAAAAAGCAAAACTTGAATTTGTTGTTAGTGGCAACTATTTACATAGCATTTATATTGTATTAGGTATTATAAATAATCTAGAGATGACTTAAAGTATATGAGAGGATGTGCAAGGGTTACGTGCATAGACTGTGCCATTTTATAAAGGGACTTCAGCGTCCTCAGATTTTGGTACCTGTTGGGCGGTCCTGGAACCAATCTGCTGGAAGGATACTGAAGGATGACTGTACTGTTAATAAAGGGATATAGGTTCTGGTATATAATTTGAAGCCAGCTCTATCTAAAGTAATTTGAAAGTAATTTGCCTTTATAAAATGGTATAGCCAGTGGTGTTCCTCTTTTACATTTATTAAGGCCTCAGCATAAGCAAACAGATATAATATTTAAATAAAACCTATTAAGCTCCAGGAGAAGATGTTTCTCATTATTTTGTGAAATAAGAAAAGAAAATCTTAAATCAACTGATTAACCCAAGCAAAACTTCATTACACATTTAAAACTTATGAAAAATTCCCAACCCCATCCTCAACCCAAGAAAGCAACCCTTCTGGCAAATGTGACACCTTCAGCTTCCAGATCTGTAAAATACAGTCGCGGGATCAGATCGCAAGTGGTCAAATTATCTTCGTCTCTAGCTTATCCTGACCTCTGCTTAGCATAGTTAAATTATGCTTGTTATTTTTACATATTTATATGTTAGGTATGATAGTTCGATAATCTTTTGATGTGTGCTTTATTTGGTTAACAAAACTCACACCCACATTCATTTGTTAATTACTAAAACTGAAAGAAAACTGGTATGTGATACAAAGAACACAATCACCTTCTGACAAAACAAACCTATTCTTATTCTTATCACAAATTCATAATATTAAAAATATATTAGTTGCTAGTACTAAGGAATTTATGTATAAGAAAGTTCTTTGAAATGAGGGTCTGACATCATACAATTCAGCTAGTGGAAGGAACTCAGAGATCAAGAGTGCTAAAAATACTTAATATAAGAGATAACTGAAATTATATCTGGTATGAAAATAAAAATTTCTGCATCAAGGAGTTCTTTTAAAACTTAAGACAATTCTAAAGAGAAAATAATAAAGATTTTGAAAACACAAAGAGCACTAACATTTTTTAGCATGTATTCCCGTGGTATTTGGGGGCAATTATACGTATATATTTGTTTTTCTTCCCCCCCAGAAGCAATATTATCATATATACTTAAAATCAGATTTATCAGTCAAAATAATTTGTGATATCTGCTTGACTAGAAAACAGATCTTCATGAAATGAAAATTCAGAGCCACAATAGAAAAAAATTACATTACCTAACAAAGAAACTAAACTCAAATAGGATAAGATATTGTTATACTTATGGATAAAATTTGCTGCTGTAGTAGCTTTCAAAAGATTAATTCTTTGAACAGCTTTAAAATGAGAATAATAAGTGTTTTAAAATATACTTTCATGAAACCAAACGGAAAGAATTAAAAACCAATAAAAATATTTTAGAGACATTTAAAAAATAAAGTATACTCCCAATTTATCCCTTCCTCCCACCCTTCCCTCTCTGGTAACCATAAATTCATTGTCTAAATCTGTGAGTCTGTTTCTGTTTTGTAAATAAGTTCATTTGTATATTTTTTCTTTTTAAATTGGGAGTATGGGATTGACATGTACACCTTGTTGTTTATCTATATTTAAAATAGATAAACAACAAGGACCTACTGTAAAAAAAAAAAAAAGAAAAAAAGAAAAAAAGAAAAGAAGAATATGCCTAATCTAAAAATAAAAAATAAATTATATAGGGCATAAAAATCATACTTTAGAAGAGATAAGATACAATCCTTACGACCTTTTCATACTACACCTTTCTAACTAAACTTTCTATTAGTGCCTGTTTTATACAGGGAGATGTTAGAACTCAGGAAGTATAATAGAAAGACAGGATTTAGCGCCTTACACTATGTTGTCATGAAAATGTTTCAGAAAACTACAAAGGCTGCTCATGGAAGCCACTGATAAGAGCAGACTATTTTTTAACATACAGCCAGCCATTCTACCTTGCAACAGCTGGAGAACCACCCCCAGGGCTTAAATTTCAAAGCAGTTTATTGGGACCAGTTTGCCCTTTCACTTGGAATGCCTTTTGTTCTGTTCCAGGAAACACTGGAGAAGACGCATTTTCAAGAGTCCCTAAACATGTTCAGCTACATGGGTCCTCCTCCTGAAGATTTCTTTGTAGTTGTGTGCCTGTTATGTGAAAGGGCATAAATAATCAGAAAGTGAATATATATTTAATTCTCAAATAGCAAAATTTCTTCTATATTGAAGAAACGGGTCATGTTTAGCAAACTACACTCCTCATTAAATGTGTGCTCATCAAATCCACTTTCCCACCTTTAATGTAACAGGACTTGATTACTATTCCAGGCCTGAGTTTTTGTCAACTGATATTATCAGAAATTACCAAAATGCCCAGATAACAGAAATAAAGAGAAAAACTACTGCTGCTCTGCTTGGTAAAGACTAGAGGGATTTCTCACGTTATTTTAGCTCTTATCAGTTTCTCTAGCTCAAGAGAAAAAAAAAAAAACAAAAATCAAGTCTCTAAGTAGAGCTGTAACATAAATGTGAATGGAAGATGAGAAGTTATTAAGAGGAACTGTAATTTTGTAGGAGGATTTGACACTGCCAGCCACCCAAGCGTTATTCAGATGGCTTGAACACAGGTGCTATTGCTGGCTAGAAGATGGAGCAAAAAGAAGGGTTTAGTCTTTTCAGCTACAGGTGGGACCACCCTGGGTCTCAAACTCCACTTTGGGGAAAATGGCAATTTCCGTTAGACATACCCTAATCCAAACATCAGGATGAGTGGTGTCCGGGGATTGAATGCTGTAAACCAGAATCTGGAAGATGTGTTACCCCTTTACTGCACACCCAGAACCCCAGGCTGGGCACATCCTGAAGATATAAAAGGATGACGAGGCACAATTCATAGTGCCTTTGTCTGAAAGAAGATGATGGTTTTAAAAACTTAAGTTTTTCTGAACTGTGTCCAAGTGACCCTCATGCTATTAAACTAGTAGAAGCAGCCTAACAATGTCATGAGATTCTCGACAAAGATAACAAAAGAAGGAGCATTTCCAGCCTTCCTACGACCTACAATCTTAGGATAAAAACTTACATCTAGGCTACGACGTACTCATTTTTAGCAGGAGGGATTCCTAGGAATTCAGCAGGGGGAAGCTGGGCCCCCTGACCGTGCGCAGGAAATGGATGAGAAGACTTAAATCAAACTAGTTTATTGTTCTCCGTTGGTGGTCTTTGTAACTAAGATGCCAAGACACTGCTGGATAAAATTCCTATTACTCTCAGGCTCTGTGCCTGTTCATCACCCAACTGTATTTGAAGGCTCAAGATTCTTGTAAAAGACGAAGTGAATCTTATGTGACTACTCTCATAATAAAATTACTGTGAAACCAAGTCCTCAAGGGGAAACGGACATAATGTTTCTACTAGAAAAGCCACATACTAAAACGCATCGTGTCATACAAACATGTCATTAGAAGTGAAAGTTGGAAGCCAGATTAATCCATGAACCAGATAGATATTCCAGGGTAATCTTTAGCATATGTTGCATTCAATCAATCTTGGAAGTCTGTTCCTTCAACACTGTTTGGTTTGAGGTTTAAAAACATGGCAAATACCATGCTTTAGAAAGCAGGCCGGTTAAAGACTAATAAAACAATAACAGTTATTATAACCATTATGCTAGCTCTATGCCCAATTCCCTCTGAGAAGAAGGGAGGGTGTGTAGCCCCAAACCACAAGCGCTCACACCCTCTGAATGTATACAAATGGTATCTCCCAGTGGGTAACTGAAGCGCTCTTGTCCTTGGGTAGTCTAAGGGGATTGTGTTAGTCTCAGGGGATTGAGGTGGGTCTCTCAACCCTTTTGAATAGGAAGGGCTATTGGATAAGGCAGGTAGGAAGGAAATATGCAGAGAGTACGTACCTACATGTACCATGTATATGACTACCATCTTCTAGACATCTCTCTCCTCTAGAGTTCGTATCTAATAACTAAGTACATTTCCTCCTCTGTATGCATGCTCACATGCAGAGGCATTATTGGACTGTAGTGATTCTAAAGTACATTGAGCAGCATTACATGAAAGAGTTTTAGGAATCAAGTTGAAAGGCTCTGATGGTGGTAACTCTTGAAGCCCTCAGACGTAGCTCCTATCCTTAACTGGCTGCCCCACCAGGTGAACGACTAAGAATCCACGGTGTGTTCCATGCACTATATTCATGTAATTTCAGGGTGCTAAACAGACCCTTCTAAGTCACACATGCCTAATGCAACCTCCAGAGTTTGCTGGCAAGGCTTCGCAGAAAAGTAGTGGTCTACATGCCACAAGTAAAATATTTTACTGTACGATTCTTTCAAAAATCCATGGATGAATGTGTCATTTTGAAAAAAATCCTGTCGATGGGCTTCCCTGGTGGCGCAGTGGTTGAGCGTCCGCCTGCCGATGCAGGGGATACGGCTTCCTGCCCCGGTTCGGGAAGATCCCACATGCCGCGGAGCGGCTGGGCCCGTGAGCCATGGCCGCTGAGCCTGCGCGTCCGGAGCCTGTGCTCCGCAATGGGAGAGGCCGCAGCAGTGAGAGGCCCGCGTACCGCAAAAAGAAAAAAAAAAAAAAATCCTGTCGTTAATAAAATCTGAGTCAGCTTTGTCCTTCCAAGCATTTCTCAAAAAATGATATCGGGCATTAAAGGGCAAAAGAAAACAAAACAAGAAACAACGGCTATCCCTCCAAGTCAAACACAGCCATCCTGAACCTCAGTGAGCATCTTCCATCTTTCAGATGCAGAGGACAGAGCCGGAGGCAAAGGAGCATGTTTCCAGAGAGGTTACCCTCTGATGATTCTGGAGTTTACATCTCACTCCACATGCATTTTGTTGTCCTGTCACTGGTTGAGGACAATCATTGACTGCCAGGAAGACACGGTATAACATGAAACTGAGAGATGGAGCAATGATCTTCCTCTGAACTGAAAAAGCCACTTCCTAAGACATCAACGCCATTTATGAAAAGACTGCATTGCCTTGCAACTTTTCACCAAGAAAACTTGAAAAATGTGATGTCCATGTGTTAGTGCTTGAACCCCATTCTTACGGCATTAGTATTGCTTACAGTCATTTTCTACAGAATCATGTGTGTAATCTCAAACATGTGTCAGGCTATGTGTTCCCTATTTACCAATTATTTAATTAGTTCTGTTTGTTCTTTGAGATACAGACAATGTAATATTTCTTTATTTCCTGCATTTCAGAATGAGTGAGTATATGCCAAATATTTTCAAAAGTCTACAGATGTATCCTATTAATCCATACTGTTTGTTAGGCAAGTATCACTAACATCAGAAGAGAAATCTTCTCTTCTTGTTACACAGACATACTGCCATCCCTGGCTTCTACCACACTGTGAAAATCGAACTAAAGCCTAGGAGAATTAAAGTGCAGAGAAAAAAATAATAACGTGCAAAGAACCAGGAGCGACTCGGACCCCGTGCAATATTAAGGTTTACTATCATACCTAAATTCTCCTCTGTACTTAACGAATTTGAGGATGTATTATTTAAGGATGAACACTCTAGAATGTTCTCCCCTAAAGTAACCCTAAAGTAATAACTGTATGTATGCAAATGAATAAAGATCTGTTCCTCCAGAAAGCTGAATTACCATGTCTACTTATGTCCCGAAATGATTCTAAAGCTTTCTCACATGCTGCTACCGATTTTGACAAGTACACCCATGATGATGGAGTAATTTATGCAATAAAGTTGTTCCTAAAAAGCATTTTCTGGGTTCCCCAAATCGCACACTTTTCCCTTTGAAAATTATAGCTCCTTTATTATTGTCTAGACCCCCCTCCACTTAAACGGCCCTTTGGTCTGGATAAAAAGTTAAGTCCATCTTTAGGATGTAGCTGAGCCCATTAGTATGCAGAAGTCACCTATTACTGCCCTAAGCGCCTAGACCAAATGAAGAAGAGTAGACATTCCTGTTCATCTACAAGCCAGTGATGAGCCAATCAGCTTAAATAAAGCAAATCCCATTCCCACTGAGACTTGTCGTGGCTCTGCTGACCACAGCTCGTGGAGGATAATCACACCATCTCATAATATCTCTTTCTCCCCAAGTCCTGACTTCCCTCATGGCACAGTGGTTAAGAATCCACCTGCCAATTCAGGGGACACGGGTTCGAGCCCTGGTCCGGGAAGATCCCACATGCCACAGAGCAACTAAGCCCACGCGCCACAACTACTAAGCCTGCGCTCTAGAGTCCGCGAGCCACAACTACTGAGCCCGTGTGCCACAACTACTGAAGTTCGCATGCCTGGAGCTCGTGCTCTGCAACAAGAGAAGCCACTGCAATGAGAAGCCCGCACACCACAACGAAGAGTAGACCTGTCTCACCGCAACTAAACAAAGCCCACGTGCAGCAACGAAGACCCAACGCAGCCAAAAAAAAAAAAAAAAAGACTGTTTGGCAAATCAGTCAATATAAACTTTTTTTCAAATGGTGCCTAGGTCTGCTTTCCTCAACTCGAGCTTTTGCTCTACCTTTGTACCTTCCTAAAAAAAGAAAATTACTCAATCCATAAGTAGACAGGAAATCTGCCTTGTAAGAGGATGAATGACCGGTCATCCTTCTTTATAACTAGACCTCATGACTGCAGAAAGGGGTTTTCCATTTGTCAAACCACATTGAAGTGAAATATGCTTTTCTCACTCTTTCAGTTCTGCACTTCTTTCTTTCTTCTTGTTTTTCGGATCTGCCAAAACTGCATTGATAGCTAACAAAACTTCCCCACTCGACCTCTGCCCGTAGCTCTCCAAGGTCAAACTGATGCAACGCATTGGTAGAGGCTTTGTTATGAAAGTTACAAAAATGGAAACTCTTTCCTAAATTCGCCTCTTAGTGCGACATGGCGGCGAAGGGAAGGGCTGCTAGATGGCTCATCTCAAGTGTGAAGTATATTATTGAGTAAGCAGGGAGTGTATTATTTAGGCAGAATTATATTTGCAACATTTCAAAACACATCTCTTCTCGTTCATCAAAAACTCTCCGCCTCATAAGTGATTCATGCCACTTCCCGAAGTTCCAGAGACTATCTAAAGAAAATGAAAAAACAAACAAACAAAGAAAAACTGCGAAGAGCTAAGGAGACTAAACAGCAGTATTCTTCTGTCATACATTCTTCTCTATAAAATGTACGGTTAGTGTTCTCATCACTAACTGGACCCACTAGAAGTGATCATAAGGCCAAGCTAGGGGTGGGTTTGAGCTACAGCCAGAGGAGGTGGCGACCAATGGAAGTCTGAGGTTTTAATAAGGCCCTGAAGCATCAGACTGTGCCACTCATCTGAATGACAGGGTCGTCAAAGGCAGAATCAGAAGGTGGTGGCTGCCTCACCGCTAACCCGGACTCTTCCTCCAGGGGCAGCTGGATGCCCTGCCCAGCTGTTCCCTCAAGAGAAGAGTGTTGGTGGGCTAACCATCCATCCTAGGGAGAGGACCATAATGGACGTCACGAAAATTGAGAAGATGATGGCTCAGTTTATTTGATAGAGGCATTCTGCTTGGGTCTTAACTTATCAGTGAATTTGCTACGAAAAAGCAGCAAATAACTTCTGGCCCATTGATGCCCAGGCATCTCCTCTCCCATAAGTCAGCAAACACTTCGTCCCCTCTGGAGGGCTCAACGATGCCACAGTCTCCATAAGGTGAAGCTATCTAGTTATTAATAACAATCTATAAATGTCACATGAGCTAGTTTTCAGAAGACAGTGGTGTGTTACGGTTAAAATTAGCTTTGCACAGTGACTGGAACTTGAGAAGCGATCAATAACTCCTATTTAGAGCTATTATGCCTTCTATCTTACTAATCTTCAGTGGTTCGTCTTACTAAAGTTCCCTTTGCTAGCTGTTTGAGACTGTGAGAAGCAAGGTAGTTTTGGTCTATTTAAACCTTTATTCAATCTAATCACTCACAATGGAGAAAGTGGCCAAATTTCATTTTCTTGGGACAAAAAAAGTGATTACAGTCAAGCCAATGACAATGACAATTTGTGTTTGGTTCATCTGTCTGTGATAAAAATTCATTGCTTGATTACTGTTCAGTGATGGGGTGGGGAGAGGTCCTTGATGATTAAACCTGACACTGGTTGTCGGCAACAGAACTGGCGTTTCCAAGACTCACCCATTATACTGTCTGTTCCGTTGGCAGGAGGCGTACAAGACGAGGTGCTGTAATGGTTTGTACCACTACGGTGGAAAGTGGACATCGGAGGAAGACTGGAATTGATGTCTGCTGAGGAGTGTGATGGATAGCTCTGTGGCAAGAAGCAGAAAAAGGAGACCATATTTAATCACAAAACACCTGGTGGATTAGTTTCCCAACACTTCTTTCAGAACTCTTTGCTTTGCAATGGAGACAGCCCTCGGAATTTCAAAATATCCAAGAATACATCTTACTTAGCTCTGACAGCTTTCATTTTTCAAATAATAAAATACAAAGACACAGTTGGTTTGGGTTTGCATCAAATCTAGAGGAATATAATGGCAATGCTGGACCTTGAGAAATGATCACGATCTCTAAATATAAAAATTACTGCTTAAAGGCATGTCTAGGACTTCAGCAACATAAAAGACCACCACCACTATTATTTTTCTGTATGGCTTATTGATCAAGTAAGGAAGATTCCATAATATAATGAATAAAACACCACCATGATCCACAGGGTTTACATTACACTTCATCCTGACCTTCTGAATACAAACTGACCAAGAATAACCAGTCTTAAATCTTCTTTCTGCCAAACTGGATCATCTTTCTGAACTCCAGCAAGAACAAACCGGTAAATGAAAAATTTAAAAAGCAGTAATGATGAAATATCTCTCTAAAGCATTAACACATAAAGCCTTACATCAATGACTATGTTGAATTACACTGGAACAAACGAACAGAGGATGACTTATTTTACTTCTTTCTTTATAGGTCCTCTCCCTTAGCAATACGCCACAGAGTTGACTATGAAAAAAGAACATCAACTTTTACAGAATCATTTACTTTAAGGCTTAGCTTTGGGTTCGACTCTCATACTAGTTGTCCAAATAAGCTGCTTTTCTTGGGGCATCTCACAGTGCCTAGAAGTGCTGTACAATCAGCAGATCACTAACAGAAACATGGTTATTTACAAAAATGGAGCTATTTTCTTTTTCATGACAAGAAAGTAGCTTAAAAAGTTATTCTCATAGGCACTTGAATGTATTACAGACATGTAAAGGAAAAATATTTAAGTTAAAATATAATACTTTTTCTTTATATGTAGTATATTAATGGGCTATGGATCTTTATTATACCATTATTGGAGATTCTGCTGAAATTAAGAGATTGAATATGATGCTGAACGTCAGGGGTGATTAAAGCGTGGACACACTGTGTCTTGCGATCCCCTAGTTATTTCGTGAGGCCCATCTTGGGTTCTATCTCTTCCTTGAGGGTCCCTTACTACTTCCAACTCTTTCATAATCTCGTCTCTTTGAATCCCTAATGCAGTTACATTCTGCACTGCGCCATTAAACACTTAGTTAAATGTTGCTTTTCCATGCTTTCTCTTTCAAGAGCATTTCCACCGAAACTGTAAACTCTTCAAGGGGAGGGAATAGAGCTCATAGCTCCTCATCCCACAACTTGTGGCTGAGTGCTAAACACACTCATCCTATGAACCAAGAACAAAGAACAACAGGTTACCAGCTCGTGTTTAATAAATAGTGGACTGAAATGCTACGTATTTGAGAGACAACTAAACAGTTTAGAAGATGAATCTGCATTTTGGAGTCAGTTTGCCAATGACATGGCAGATGCCTTTGAAAATATTACCTCTGCACACTCCAAATAGTCCAACGGAAAGGACAACTTCAGTGAGAAAGTTGGGATGATGCCCTTAAACCATTCCAAGTTCCCAAGAATGCCTTTCAAACTTTTAAATTTCATGGACATCTTTGCTTGACCAAAAATTCCTTAGGCCACCTGTTAAACTCATTTCTACTTGGCACTTACAGAATACCCCAAGTAGTCCACAAAATTTTCTCCAAAGAATGATAGAGTGGGCCCATTCCATAGTACAACTGACCTAAAAAACTGGATAAGCCATGGAAGACCAAACTTAGAAGAGCTATTTCTGCTTGAGAGCTAAAGACTATAATAATGTGGAAAAAAGAAACAGACTATGGAAAAAGAAAAAGAAGAGTAAAAAAGATGGCTTGATTTCATTTCTACCCAGTACTATTCCATGCCGAGTTTCTGAAGCATAGAGAAACCTTATAAATCAGTCCCAAGCTTGCAAAAATCAAAACAGAGGAAAAAGCATTTTGAAAAATAGTTAAATAACTACAATAATGACAGGACGAGACAGGAAAAAGATTACTGCATCAGTGAGAACTTTTAGACCCTTTCAACTTGGTGTAAAATGGGCAGTAATTCAGGATTTGACAAAGGGTTACTACTGAGTTCAGAGAATAAACAGAAAAGTTCTTCCCCACAGATATTAATGCGGAAACCAATACAATCCATGTAAATCAGTAATTTTTAGAGACTCATAGAAAATTAGATGCTGAAAGAAGTTAATGAGATTTATAACCAGATTATTTTACAAAGAAAAGGATTTTGGCAACTACTGTCACGCAAAGACGTAATAAAAACACCACAGAAAATATTAGTGATATGTGAATAATGTCTCTTTAAGAGTATTTAGGGATCAGCTATAAGCACTCCCCTTAGTCTTTCTTACTTCAGCTATTAATACTGTCTACCCTGCTTGCCACAAAGGCAAAGGAAAGGGGAAGTATGACAAAGTGTTATGGTTTTACATGCCCACTATTTGTTTATTTATTTTTACTTATGATACCCAATTATAGTGTATTTGGAGTCTACTGACAGAGTAAGTGTTGAAAATGTTTCCATGAGTGATGTTTTTATCAGTCTATGGGTTGATAATTCACAAAGCAGAAAATATAATTGTTAGCACATACTAAGAATAAAGTAGTCAAACTTTGGGCTAGAGCAGGGTTTCACAATCTTGGCACTGTTGGTCTTTTGTGCCAGATCATTCTTTGCTTGGCAGGGGTTGGGTGTGGGTGTAGGGGGGGTTCCTCCTACGCATTGTAGTATGTTTCCCGGATCCCTGGTCTCTGTACGCTAGATTCCGGCAGCACCTATATGCACCATGCCCCTCCGAGTTGTAACGTCCCAAAATGTCTCCAGAGATCACTAAACGTTCCCTGTAGGGCAAAACCGCCCCCAGTGAGAGTCACTGGACTAAGACTTTATGTTACAAACAATGAAAGACAACAGCACTTCCTTTATATTAAAATTCCAGACTCCCAGGACTATTTCCCTCTGTGGTACAAAGACCATGCCTAACCCATGCCAGACTGCAGGGACTCTATCCTATTTTTGAAAAGAACTCTGCCAAGTCATTCCAAACTTAAGTTTTCTACAACAGCGCCTCCCAAAGCTTAACCACAAACTCCATTCTTCTGAGTGATTTTGCATGTGTATCTGTGACACAGTAGTGAGTAGCTGCGGGATAGTTGTAGAGGCTGAAACTGTTCAGGGCATTTAAAGAATCAAAATGGGTGACTTGACAGTTGCTACTGATATATGTGGATTTTAAGCTTTGTGATTACGTGTTCTATTATAACACAGTATAAAGTGATAAAGGCAATAATGTTTCTAAAATGTGCTACCTTCAGAGACATACTAATTTGGCCAAATTACACCCAAAGTAATCCAAGGAAAGCTTTCTTCTTTTTCTCAAACTATTCCTTTGTTCAGTATAGAATTGGGCAAAAGCTCCAGATGAATTTTTTTTTTTTTTTTTTTTTTTCG